ATAGCCACTCTATTTATGATCTAATGTCCATCTGCCTTTGCACACACTTTATAACTGTGTCATTATGTTTATATTATACAGCCTGTCCCTATCACTCACATGGGTATTTTAAACTCCATGAACCAATTGTCCATCCATTCTCATGTATGCTCCAAGAAATGGTTTTGTAAATGAACTGCCTCTAGGCCGAGCATTTTGTTGGTTTCCTGAAGAAATGTGTTTAACGACAATTACCTCTATCTCTTGCATATTTCCCACACAAAGATTATACATTTCCCATATTTCAATCTCGTGCTGGAAATAAAAAATCCCTTATACAATTTTTAAGTTTGGAACTAATTCACAGAATCATAGAATCCCTACAGTGTGGAAACAGGGCATTCGGCCCAACAAGTCCACACCACCCCTCCGAAGGGCATCCCACCCAGACCCATTCCCCTACCCCTGCATTTCCCATGTCTAACCCACCTAACGTAAACATCCCCAGGCACTATGGGCAATTTAGCATGGCCAATCCACCTACCCTGCACATCTTTGGATTGTGGGAGGAAACTGGAGCACCCGGAGGAAACTCACGCAGACACGGGAAGAACGTGCAAACTCCACACAGACAGTCGCCTGAGGCTGGAATTGAACCTGGGTCCCTGGTGCTGTGAGGCAGCAGTGCTAACGACTGAGCCACCGTGCCACCCCCATCACACTATGAACTACAATGTTTGGTTCTTCCATATGGATTAGAATTTATATATTTTCATTAGAATTTATATATTTTCAATCATTTCAATTGTTAACTTCTAAATTTGTCTCCACACACACCTTACAGGAGAGTTACATCACTGAATCTAGCTCTCCAGATCCTTACTATATCCAGAATAGTGTGGGCTGGGTAAAACTTAATGAAAAGGTCACAGTGAGCAGTAATACTCTGAATGCTCCTTCCTTTTGGGGGAAAGAGATACGTCTACGCTTCAGACCCATTCAGCGTCTTTGGGATCTGTCTTCCATAGTTTGGAGTTAACAGGTGTCAACTGAGAGATAGGTCTGAACCAAAACAGTCCCAAAAAGAGACTAGGCATATACTCTATCATACCATACATTAAAGATGGCCTGAAAATATCACAAAGGCATAAATACATTAAACATAATTAACTTCCTTACTTCGATCACTATAGTCATCAACGAGAATGAGTTCTTTAAGGAGAACAGCAGGAGATGTTTCCAAAACACTGTGAATTGTGCGGAGAAGTGTAGACCAGGCCTCATTATAAAATGCAATAATGACAGAAGTGGTAGGAAGTTTCCTATAATTGAACGTCCTTGCCCTGCATCTGAAATGAAGCAGAATTTCAATAGGATCAAGAACAGCCTAAAAATTTAAGACAAAATACCTTTAAAGCAAAGCTCACAAGAGCAATGCAGAGGTTGTGTATGCAGCAATTTAGTTCTGTTTTATGCAATACTTTCACTAACTGTCCAAATTAAAGAGTTACTGCACTGCACTACACAAGCTTCCAGAACTCTCCCAATTTTAAATGATAAATAATAAAAACAAAACAGACTCAAAAAACACAGGACATTCAATCTTCCACCTCAAGCTTGACAATTGTGCAAAAAAAAATGTTTTAATTTAACAGTTGAAGCCTGGAACAGGGAGGAGTTAAATAACTAGAAAACACTCAACTACTGAACAAATTTGTTAGCACACTGCGATACAGAATACAATAAAAACAGGTTCATAACAGCAAATCATCATGCATTACATTCTCAATCTCAAATATATATTGAAGTCGTGATACTCAACCACAAGGAGGAAGATAAATAACAAAAACTAAAAGAGGTCATTACATCAGATGCCTTGGATTGCTCATGTGTGCTTCCTTGCAAATTATTACGGATCAGCACTCCCAGTTCAAAACTGTTAACTTGCCAGCTGGCTGAGAGAATAGAGTGAATGACAAAAGGCAATGAGAAAGAAATATTTTTCCAAACTCTGTACAAAAAAAATGCAGTTGAGGTTCTACCAGATAAAAAATCAGATTTACTTGCAAATCTATTTGAAAAGGTGTTTCTTAGTAGTAAAATATTTAATATTACATTCTTTAATATTGATTTGAATACACTGCCCTAATAGCCATATTACATTCAACGTCTTTAGGTTATTGACTTGTAACTTCTGATAAATCCACTTGTCACAGAAAAAGATGATCTACTGTCTAATATTCAGTGATTCTTAGAATAAATTCTGAAACAAAAGAATGTAGTAAGATTTTTGACAAGATCACACATAGTGGACTGGTCAGAAAATTAAAAGCCCATAAGTTAGAAGGATGAGTGGGATCGGATTGAAAATTACATAATACCAAGAGACCTGGATAGAGTGGACATGGAGAAGATGTTTCCACTTGTTGGAGAGACTTGGACCCGAGGGTACAGCCTCAGGGTGAAGGGACGACCATTTAGAACTGAGATGAGGAGGAATTTCTTCAACCAGAGGGTGGTTAATCTGTGGACTCATGGATGTATAAGGCTGTGTAGCCCAAGTCATACAGTCATAGCTAGTCTCACTTGCCTGCATTTGGCCCATATCCATCTAAACCTTTCCTATTCATGTACCTGTCCAAATGCTTTTTAAATGTTGTGACTGTACCTGCATTTACCACTTCCTCTGGCAGTTATTGTGTGTTTTTACGACAGAGATAGATAGGTTCTTCATTGGTAAGGGGATCAAGGGTTGCAGGGAGAAAGCAGTAGAATGGGGAGTAGAAACATATCAGCCACGATCGAATGGTGAAGCAGACTCAATGGCCTAATGCTGTTCCTATAGCTTAAGGTCTCAGATCCAAAGGAAAGTAGCATTATGGATCCAAAACAGGCTCGATGATAGGAAGTGAAGGGTAATATTTAACAGGCCCTTTTGTAAACAGAAGGCTCTTTCCAATGGGGTTCCCACAGGGCTAAGTGCTTGGTCCCTTGTTTATCTCAAATTTCTAAATCTAAATGCAGATAGCACAAGTGAGAAGTTTGCAGATCACACAAAGAAAGGTTATAAGTTTGATGAAGAAGAAGAAAGCTGTAAACTGTAGTAAGGTATTAATATCCTGGGTAGAAAATTAACAAGTAGAATCTAATGCAGATAAGCATGAGGTAATGCATTTAGAGCGGTGCATAATACAAGGGAATACACAATAAATAACAGAATACAAGAATACCAGAATAGAAGAAGTTTGGAGTGCATGTCCATAGATTCCTAAAAACAGCAGAACAAATGTATAAAACTGTTAGGGATGCAATCAGGACACTTACCTGTATCAGGCAAAACACAACAGAAGAACAAGGAAGCTTTGCTCGACCATACAAAAATGCTAAAACAAAAACAGAAATTCCTGGAGAAACTCAGCAGGTCTAGCAGCATCAGTAGAGAGAAAGCAAAGTCAACGTTTCTAGTCCAGTGACCCATCAGTTCTGAAGAAGGGTCACCGGACTCGAAACGTTACCTCTGCTTTCTCTCCACAGATCCTACCAGACTTGCTGAATTTCTGTTGCAATTTCTGTTTTCATTTCAGATTTCCAGCATCCACAGTTCTTTGTCAGTGTAGCTAGGGGATAGCAAACAGTTCTGATCAGTGCACTACAGGAAACTTGTGTTTTCATGAGTAAGAGTACGGAGGAAATTTATGAAAATGTTTTGACAAGCCAAAATTTTTAGCTAAGAGTAATGATTGAATGGCTGGTGTTGTTTCCTAGAAGAGGTGGAAGGAAGTTATAATTAAGGTGAATAAAATTAAGAGGGTCAATTCAAAGTGGATAGGTAAACCCTATTTCCATAGCAGAGAAGTCAAGAACCAGCAGGCATCAATTTCAAGTAATTGGCTAAAAGATAAATGGGAAGATAGGAGAAATATTTTCACCCAAAGTGAGGGGAGGATCAGAAACTTACTGTCCAAGACAGGATGGTGGAGACGGATATCCCAAATCACACGTTTTAAGAAAAGCTTCTATACCATCTACAGATTTATATACCACAAGACAGAAAGCAGAATAAGGTTGGTAAACTCTTCAAACAGAAAGACAGCACAGGCCAAGTGGCCTCGCTCTGTGACTTAATTTTTTCCCCAGGCAACTGAACTCTTTCATATCTCTTGCAACCAGATTAAGTTAGGAACTCTGAACAGTGGAAGAAAACCAGAAGTACATCTCTCCATTTTCTCATTATCCAAAACACAGTCCCACAAGCACAGAAGGAACGAACCTACAATTCAAAGGATTGAGCCAATGTATAGAGGTGAAGTATTCTGCAACTCTGGTATTGATTTGTATTCTTTGGTGCACAATACATTATTGGAATGATAGAATCCCTAGTGTGGAAGCAGGCCATTTGGCCCATTAAGTCCACACTGACCCTGCAAAGAGCATCCCACCCAGACCCACCCCTCTATCCTATCCCTGTGTCTGCAAATCCCTGCACACTATGGGCAATTTAGCATTTACACTTCATTCCAAATGAACAAGAAATTCCTTTAGCAAATAAATCATATTCCATTAAAGTTCAGCAAGTTAAATTATTGCCATAAATTCAGTGAAACTCTTCAGTTTCCTAAACCATTTCAAATATATGACTGTGAAATTAAAAGCACTGCGCGGAGCAAGATATCCAGAAATGGAAACATTCTCACATTGCAAGACTGAGCACTTTCGGCAGTTGTTGAAAAGCTTGAAGAGTTCTTGCTCATGAATACCAAAAGCAAGTCTGGCGTAAAATACACACCCAAAATTTCAGAACTTGTTTCACCCATTCATAGACTTGCTGTGTAATTCTAAGATGTTTTGTTGAGAACTCTTGCAGTTGTACCCTTATATGTTAGAGTTGCCCTTTTCGGCTAGGTGTATTGAAATCATGACAGATAATCTATAATTTCACTGGTGATTTTGCTAGGCATTGTTCAGGGAGATAAAACCTCACTCGTGCTAAGCAAAAGTTATACATGTGATTGACATAGATGAGAAACTTTATGATAGGAAGTGAGCTGTGATGAGCATCAAGTGATTCAATAAACAATCTATATTTGGAGCTGGGATGAAGAAAATTAGAAAGCAGCTCATTGATGGTCAATTGTCATGAAGAATGGCAGTCAACAATACTGCTAATTATTAACATCTTAGCATAACACATATAGGTATTTTTTTCTATTCATTTCAGTGGAAAACAGCAAACCATTTTTAAGTCGCAGAATCAAGTCCAGCAAATTTAAAACAAATGCCCACATTTCCTTTGGATAATTAAGAATAGAATACTTAAATAAAACTCACTCAGCCATTCGATCATCCTTGATGTGGCGATGCAGTGATATTTTATCACTTATATAAACATTGATAGCATATCTTTCAACACTTTCCTCTTCTTTCTTTTTTTCATCGGCATTCAGCAGCAAATTTACAGCCTTACCCAGCTCCCCTGGACTGCTCAGATCAATATCAGGTTTTGCATATACTGGGCGTGACAAATCTTCAGCTTCTTCAACATTAGAATAGGTTCTGTACTTTCTCTCCTCACGACTGCTCTGCCCAGCAGAGTTTTGAACAGTGGAGATTGACAGTTCTATGATGACATAAGCAATCCATAAAAAACTGATCAGAAGACAGGTCTTCCCCAGCCAAACCCACTTGAATTTCAAAGTGATCTTCATGATGTTCTTCTGGAAATTGAGCAACAAGACGTGGTTGGAATTTCTGTGAAGGGAAAGTTGGAAATTAGGTAGTTAGTGAAACCTAACAATGATGGCAAAATACTGCAGATGTTGGAAACATAAAACAAACAGAGAATGCTGGAGAATCTCAACAGGTCAGGCAGCACCTGTGGAGAAATGGAGTGAAACCTAACAACCGAATAAACTGTCGCACAAGGCGCAATCTAAAGATGACATGAAGACAGTTAATATGGTCATCGACAAATCAGGTTTCAGTTCATCCCAATTTTTTTTCCTCATTTGTATGGTTATTTTTATCCTTGTTACCCTCAAACATGCTTTCTCAAACCAAAGGAAAAATTCACTTCTGAGCCTTTCGCAGTGGTGCCTTCCAGCAAATGAAAGAACTGTTGGTTTTCAGTTCACATAAGAAAGAATAAGATGTCACAAATTATCAACATATTGGGCAACAAATATTTACCACTGTCTTGCTACTTCCTACAATTGGATCTTGTATGACTTCAAACCTGAAGCTACAGTTTTGAGACCTTTTTTGCCATATTTGTTTCTGAGATGAGGTGAAATTTCTTCACCCTGAGAGTGGCGAGCCTGTGAAATTGACTCCCACAGAAAACGGTCAAGCCAATACATTGTACGATTTCAAGGAGGAATTAGGTACAGTTCTTGGGGTTGGGTGGGGTGGGGGGGGGGGGGGGGTCAAAGAATATGGAGGAAAAGCAGGATCCGGCTATTGAGTTGGACGATCAGCCATGATCATAATGGAGGGTACAGTAGACTCAAAAGGCTGAATGGCCTACTATGGGCAAACCACTGAAGAAGATGGTACTGTGCATCACACTCTAATTGGGCGCAGATTCCACGTTAATTAACTAGATTTACTGATAAAAACTAATTTCTGGTGCAACAATTGCTGTTAGGGCCAGTGCTTTCATTCTAGGTGTGCCCTTGACATCAGTGACTGCAGTAAGTTGATTGACCAATTGTACCAGCATCCACATCCAGAAGATCATCAGACGCCATTTCCGCCACCTCCAGCAAGATGCCACCACCAGACACATATTCCCCTCCCCTCCCTTGTCTGCCTTCCGCAGGGACCGTTCCCTCCGTGACACCCTGGTCCACACTTCCTTCACCCCCAACACCTCCCCACAGCCCTACGGCACCTTCCCCTGTAACCGGCAAAGGTGCAACACCTGCCCATTTACCTCCTCCCTCCCCAGTCTCAGGTCAGAAGCTTAAAAACGCCACTAGCTTTTGAACTGCTGGAGGATATACCACATGGTATTTACTCAAAGTGTAACAGATACATTGATACAGATATCCAAGTACTATACTAAACAGTATTTCTTTTTTCAAAAAATTGATTGCATATTTGCTCTAACTTGGAGTTAAAACTGGCTTTTTACATGTTGTTGTGACTCAGCAGTGAAGTGTAAGAGCAACTCACAAATCTGTCAGTTCTTTTCACATTGGTGACACTTCAATAAATAATGCATTTGATGCAAGAGGACAACAATGATAGTTTCTATCCAGTACTCCATTAGTTACAATTCTAGTGTCTTCATACATGTAAAATAAGTTGTAGAACCTAAATAGCTACTTTAGTGCCAAAATTGATTTCAACTCTATTGTTATGTTACAATGTTGTCCTATTGACTTTAGCAGTCTGTTAATTATTTACTGTGGAAAATCTTAAGGAAGTATTGTATTTATTAATTATATATGTTCTCTTGATGGGCATTAAAACATAACTGCAGTGACTTTCTGCAAAGGTTTCCACAATTTGAATAAACGCTATAGACCAACAGATGCCACTTTTCTCTAGAATCATTTAACAGATGTAATCTGGGAAGCAAAGTACTTGCTATCTAGAGACATCTATGGAGGATAAGTGAGATAATCTCATGGTTTACAACTCAACTTTCCCACTACTACTGGTATTTTACATTTCCCTGTTGTGCATAATAGCATAATATCTCAGTGGATTATAAAAATGGCCATTCCCGATTTTTAGGTTGTGGTTAAATGCATCTCATAGCAAATTACATTTCTGGCCTCCAGCTAAAATGGAGCGAGGAGGAATGGGCTGGGTGCCCTCATCTGTTTCAGTAGTAATTTGATCACTTTGACAATGAAAGATCAAAAATGGTTAGTTAATATCAATTGGCTTCATTGGGTGCTAAAGGCTAACTGTCATATGATCAAAATCCCACCTGAGAAGAAGTGACATTATAAACTTCTCTGGATGTTGCAGGGAGTAACAACAAGAAGGCCTGCAGGATGGTGTGGACAGCAGTTATCTCTCAGCAGGTTTTTCAAACTCAGGCTATATCTCATTTACAAGTTGAACCATATCACAAAGAGAAGGAATTTTTTTTAGAAAACGAAAGAGCTCCAAGTGCTATTTTATCGACTCTGTAAAAAGGACTGATTGAAGTTTAAGTGTCTCCAGAAGAACAACCAGCTTATATTGAACACAAACCCACGTGAGCTTCCAGAATAGAAATTTATGATTCTTTTCCCTTATGGACTTATTTTTTCCAACTCTATTTCCCACACCCTATGATCACTTGCATGCCAGTTTATGTGTATGTCATAGGGCATGGAATGAGTTTTAACTTTTTATAATGTTATTCATTTTAGTGAATAAGCTTTTGTCTTCAAGTAATAAAACAAACTCCTTAGTTTCTAACTTAAGAGTTCTGGCTAACTTGTTTCTTCATAGTTTCACACATGGTCACATACACGCTAAATTGAAAAGACAATTTTTTTTAAAAATTGTGAACTGTTACACCAACCTCGGGAGTGAAAAGAGAAGAATTTATTCACTCCTGCAGACTTGGTCACAACACTGCACGTAGAATGGTCACTCCATAACCAGCATAAGAACTATAGATCCACATCTTGCACTTAGATCATAAGTTAAGCACATCTGCCATATATATGAAGGTATGACTATATATTTCACACTAACAAGTTAACATTAAGACAGTATTTACTATTCCAACTAGAAATACAAATACTGCAGAAATGGAGATGTTGAGCATATGAATAATTCACTTTTGCGTTACCGTCACTGGATAGAACACCTCCCCCCATCACAGCTGATGGATGTTAAACTGCTAATATTGCTGCCTCTTTCAGGGACAGAACTGGAATGGACCTTGGATTTCACAAATCCCTGACTCAGGAAGAGTGTTACGAACCAAAACAAGTATGAAGTTGCAAAAAATAAAAATAAATGTGCTGACTTACAAAAGACTCAGTCTACCTAGCTCATGAGTCCTAAACTAAATATTATTTTCATCCTAATCCTGCTTCAGTGTCAACCTGATATCCTTAAATCCAGCTGAAATGTTCTTTTTCATCATGAAAATAGATTTGTTTCATTTACCATCTCTATACTCGTGAAGAAGCCAAAACCAGTGACTATCTGAAACATTTTAACATCTTTCAGACACTGCCAATTTATCCAGCAATGAATTGGTCTGGATTTTATAGACCTCCCCGAGAGACGTCAACTTTTCACTACAACTTGTCTATCCAAATTGCAATATGACTAGTTTCTCTAACCCAATTAACAAATCACAAATGCCCTCTTTAAATGGTTGTGCACAATTTGAAAATAAAAGAATGCCAACAAACAAAGTTTCCCCCTCCAACACCAACCCCTTTGATTGATGCAGTGACATTAATTTAAAGGCAGGGTGGGTGAGGGGATGCTAGTTGCATGATAGAGATTAGCCTGGTCAGTTCCAGATTAATTCAGATGTTGGCTCAACAGGCTGAGTCTGGATAAGGATGGGGGCAATGTGAGTAATTGAGGGTTCAGCTGTATAAATATCCTGGAGTGTAGTGATTGGAGAATAATGATTTTTCTGATAATATTTCCTGAGTACTGATCCGGCTAAGTAACTCGGAATTGTCTGAAGTATCCGGCTCCAAATCACATTGCCAGTGCAGATCCCAAGGCAGGTGTGTTACAAATAAACATCACTGTGTCAGTTGTATATAACTTCAGTTAGGCCACTTTTGGAGTATTGTGTACAGTTCTGGTCCCCACACTATAGGATGTGGAGGCTTTGGAGAAGATGCAGAAGAGACCTTCTAGGATGTTGCCTGGATTGGAGTGTATTCCTATAAGAAGAAGTTAGACAAACTTGCAATTGTTTTCACTAGTGTCAGAGGCTGAGGGGCACTACCATCTTCCCCCCCCTCTCAACTGTTCAAGTATGTCACAGTTCTCTTTGATTTTTCAATTTACATCATTCATCTCATCATGAATACAGAGTGTAAAGTACTCAGCTAAAACTTTATTTGCATCTTCTGGCTCCATTCTCAGTTTCCCACGTATGTCCCTAATGCAGTTTGGTCAAAAGAACACGGAGACACGGCATTCAACAAAAATATTCTCTCCTCAAGGCTGTGTAGGAGCAGAGGAACCCAAGTACATATGCGCAGATCAGGGTAATAAAGCACACAATATCCAAAGCTTTATTAATTAGGCATTAGAGTAAAAGAGCAAGAAGCTTATGCTGAACTTAATAGAAGATAATAGTTAGACCTTAGCAGGAGTATTTTGTACAGTTCTGGCTGCCACACATCAGGAAGGATGCAAACCAATCAAAGAGATTTACATATGTGGTTCCAGGGATTAGAAACCTCAATTATGAGGATACATTTGAGAAGATGGCAGTATTTCTCTTCCAGATGAGAAAGGTGAGGGGAAATTGATACAAATTTCTGAAATCATGAATTTTCCAATCAGAGTAGATAGGGTGAAACTGCTCCCACTTGTGAAAGGATGGAGAGGGCGCAGTTTTATGTGTTTTGCAAAATAAGCAAATGCAATTTGAGAAGAAAAAACTTTAGTACAGCAAAAGGCATAACGCTTTCTCCAAGACACAGGGTAGACCCGATAAGATGAATGACCTCTTTTGGCTAATGAGTCTGCGACCTACAAGACTAAATATCTTAAAATACCACCATCCCACAAGGTGACAGTGAAATACTTTGCAGTGTCAGGAACAACAATACTCTGGCATTTTATAGTTATTACCAACTGAACTGTACAGCTCGCCAAATGGCAACAATAATAACTGCTGTGGGTTTCAGAAGTTGTAGTGTTCCTCAGTTGGGTCTGTCAAACAATTTAATTGAAACAAAAAAAATTAAATACTTCTTTTTGAAGTGTGTCTGGACAATAATTGTCCTAAGCCTGTCTGACGCACAGTGGAATCTTCAACTTGAGCCAACTTTGGAAGAGATGGCAAGGGAGGCAGAGAATAGCTTCTACATGTTTTTTTTAAACATGCTCCCCCCCACTCCGCGACATGTTATGACATGGCTTGCTTTTAACACAGTCAACCCATTTTCACCCACTTTCAGGCCTATTATCACATTACAGGGTTTTGCTTTCAGCAGCCTACCCACTCTGCTCAGCTCTCATTATCACTTATTTCGCTTCCCTTCTGTGGGCCTTCCAGCCATAATCCCCTGGTTTACTTTCGTATCTCTCTGCGCGCTCCATCTCCACCTACCCGCTCACCTCTCCCTCCCCTAACTTACTCTTCAGCACAAACACCACTTTTTCCTGAGTTGCTATTAGTTCTGAAGAAGGGTCACTGGACCCGAAACATTAACCCTGCCTCCACACACACACACAGATGCTGAGTTTCGCCAGCGATTTCTGTTTGTGTTTCAGGTCTCCCAACAGCCGCAGTTGTTTGTTGGATTAGAGCGAGAAGGGGTTTGCAGTTGAGAGGGAAGAGAGGGGAGCGAGCGAGCGAGCGGGCGGGCGCGGCCTGGGCTGCCGCATCTCGGCGGGAACCCCGTCCCGTTTGGTGCAAACCAAGTTCGCCGTGAGGAAAGTTTCAGGGTGCGGGGTAAGAGTGGTGGCGGCCGCTGGGAAAGAGCAGGAGAGAAACAGAAAGAGAAAGAAAGGCGAGGTTTCACACTCACCCTCACTGAACTGGCGGCCAGTCTACATTCCGGCAAAATAAAAAGGCGAGCGTCCGCTCAAGCCGAGGCGCAACTGGTAGCTGGGGGAGAGAGAGAAAGAAAATCGGGCGCTGGTCTACACCAGGAAGTCCTGGTCCCTCACACACTGAGCGTCAACTACACACAGCCGCATTGTAGGCCACCCCCAACCCTGAAGGGTTCCTACCTCTGTCTATTGCTCCCCAGCGCCTATCTACGCCTGTTCACAAACTTAGCATAACTCCTTCATAGACAAAATAAAAACAGACATTGCTGGAAAATCTCAGCAGGTCTGGCAGCATCTGTGGAGAGAAATCAGAGTTAACGATTTGCGTCCAGTCACCCTCCCTCAGAACTCTGTTAATTCTGATTTCTCTCCACAGGGTGCTGCCAGACCTGCTGAGATTTTCCAGCATCAGCAGTTCTTTCAGTTTGTTTTATGACTCCATCTTCACTCCCCGATTTCTTTCACCACATTTCCCACCCCAGGGAGAAGGGTAAATAAAGTTATTGCCCATCCCTGAGTTCTCCCGCAGATCTTGTGGTGACAAAGTGAGGTGGGTGAAGTAACTCCACAGAGGCCAATATCATGTCACTCACATTCTAGGAGGTCCACCTGCCTGACCTTGTTACAATCACTACAGTGGGGAATTTTGAATATTGACCAAGGATTTGCTGGTAAAAACTGTGCACTGGAAGTGGATTGTGTTCCTACAACGTTGCTGTGGCTTTCTTAAAGCCATAGGGGTCATTAGGAGAAACCTGAAGGTTAAGCTTGAGCAGTTGCTGAAGTGCATCTGTTAGTTACTGCATTCGGGTAACCAGGTTTTCAAAAGGGAGTCCTGAAGGAAACTGGTGAATATGTCATACTGGTCTGACTCATGTTGTATACTTCAAAATGGAGGTCCAGTACAACCAGCGCATTCATTTCTAACTATTACTGGTCTTTCAGGGAACCTTCAGGGAATGCTCCCTCACTGCACAAATTGCACAGTGCGGTTGATGTAGTTTATATAGATTTCAGCAAAGCCTTTGACAAGGTCTCAAAGGGGCGATTGATAATGAAGGCAAAGGCTCACAGGATCAAGAGTAACTTGATAAGATTGGTCCAATATTGGCTTAGTGTCAGGAGACAGAGGCTGGTGGTACAAGGCTGCTTGTGTGACTGGAGTCTGATGTCCATTGGCGTAACACAGGGATGAGTGCTGAGTCCGTTATTGTTTGTGATATATATATAAAAGATAGATGAGAAAGTGGGGGGACGTGGTTGGTGATAACTAAGTTTGCGGATGACATGAAGATTGGTCACGTGGTTAATAGTGAGGGCAGAGGTTTTAGTTAAAAGGAAGATATAGGCAGATTGGTCAGATGGGCAGATCAGTGATAGAATAAATTTAATCCTGAAAAATGTGAGGTGATGCACTTTAGACAAAGTAGCAAGACAAATAAGGAAATACTCAATGAATTACAAGACACTAGGAAGCTCAGAGGAATCTTGGCATGCTTGTCCACTGATTCCTGAAGGCAGCAGTACAGCTTAATAGGATAGTTAAGAAGGCATATGGGATGTTTGTCTTTATCAGTCATGACCTAAATTTAAAAAAGCAGGGAGGTTATGTTGGAGCTGTACAAAAGTTTGGTTAGGTCACAGCTGGAGTACTATATGCCGTTATGGTCACCACACCATAAGAAAGATGTGATTACACTGGAAGGAGTGCAGAGGAGAGTCACCAGGATGCTGCCTGCTGTTGGAGCATTTTCTCCAAGATAAGGCTGGAAAGGTTTCAGTTGTTTTCTTTAGAGCAGAGAAAATTGAGGAGAGACCTGATTGAGGTATACAAGATTATGACAGGCATGGATTGGGGGAATAGGAAGCAGCTGTTCCCCTTAGTTAAATGTTCAACAAAAAGGAAGCATAATTTTAAAGTGAAAGGCAGGAGGTTAAGTGGTGAGGCTACTCCTCCTGGACACCACCCCAAGGCCTCCTACCCTCCCTCAACGTCTTCATCTCCAACTGCCGTCAAGACATCGATCGCCTCAACCTCTCCACCCCTCTCACCCACTCCAACCTCTCCCCCGCAGAACATGCAGCCCTCCGCTCCAATCCCAACCTCACCATAAAACCCGTGGACAAGGGAGGCGCAGTTGTAGTATGGTGCACTGACCTCTACATCGCCGAGGCCAGACGCCAACTCTCCGACACCTCCTCCTACCGCCCCCGATCATGACCCCACCCCCCGACCACCAAACCATCATCTCCCAAACCATCCACAACCTCATCACCTCAGGTGACCTCCCACCCACAGCCTCCAACCTCATCGTTCCCCAACCCTGCACCGCCTGCTTCTATCTCCTTCCCAAAATCCACAAACCTGACTGCCCTGGTCGACCCATTGTCTCCACCTGCTCCTGCCCCACCGAACTTATCTCCACCTATCTCAACTCCATTTTCTCCCCCTTGGTCCAGGAACTCCCGACCTACGTCCGTGACACCACCCACACCCTCCAACTCCTCCAGAACTTCCAATTCCCCGGTCCCCAACACCTCATCTTTACCATGGACATCCAGTCCCTATACACCTGCATTCCCCATACAGATGGCCTAAAGGCCCTCCGCTTCTTCCTGTCCCGCAGGCCCGACCAGTCCCCCTCCACTGAAACCCTCATCCGCTTAGCCGAACTCGTCCTCACCTTCAACAACTTCTCTTTCAATTCCTTCCACTTCCTATAAACAAAGGGGGTGGCCACGGGTACCCTCATGGGCCAAAACTATGTCTGCCTCTTTGTAGGTTACGTGGAACAATCCCTCTTCCGTAGCTACACTGGCCCTAAACCCCACCTCTTCCTCCGTTACATTGATGACTGTATCGGCGCCGCCTCGTGCTCCCACGAGGAGCTCGAACAGTTCATCCACTTCACCAACACCTTCCACGCCAACCTTAAGTTCACCTGGACCATCTCTAATACCTCTCTCTCCTTCCTGGACCTCTCTGTCTCCATCTCTGGCAACCACCTGGAAACCGATATCCATTTCAAGACCACCGATTCCCACAGCTACCTAGAATACACCTCTTCCCACCCACCTTCCTGCAAAAATGCTATCCCCTGTTCCCAATTCCTTCGCCTCCGCCGCATCTGCTCCCAGGATGAGGCATTCCACTCCCGTACATCTCAGATATCCTCGTTTTTCAAGGACCGCAACTTCCCCCCCTCAGTGTTCGAGAATGCCCTCGACCGCATCTCCCGCATTTCCTGCAACTCATCCCTCACACCCCCTCCCCGCAATAACAACCAAAACAGAATCCCCCTCGTCCTCACATACCACCCCACCAACCTCCGGATCCAACGCATCATCCTCCAACACTTCCGCCATCGGCAATCCGACCCCACCACCAAAGACATTTTTCCCTCTCCACCCTTATCTGCTTTCCGGAGGGACCACTCACTCCGTGACTCCCTTGTCCACTCCACACTCCCCTCCAGCCCCACCACACCCAGCACTTTTCCCTGCAACCGCAGGAAGTGCTACACCTGCCCCTACACCTCCCCCCTCACCCCCATCCCAGGCCCCAAGAAGACTTTCCACATCAAGCAGATGTTCACCTGCACATCTACTAATGTGGTATACTGCATCCGCTGTTCCCATTGTGGCCTCCTCTACATTGGGGAAACCAAGCGAAGGCTTGGGGACCACTTTGCAGAACACCTACGCTCGGTTCGTACTAAACAACTGCACCTCCCAGTCGCGAACCATTTCAACTCCCCCTCCCATTCCTCAGACGACATGTCCATCCTGGGCCTCCTGCAGTGCCACAACGATTCCACCCGAAGGTTGCAGGAACAGCAACTCATATTCCGCTTGGGAACCCTGCAGCCCAATGGTATCAATGTGGACTTCACAAGCTTCAAAATCTCCCCTCCCCCTACCGCATCCCAAAACCAGCCCAGCTCGTCCCCGCCTCCCTAACCTGTTTTTCCTCCCACCTATCCCCTCCTCCCACCTCAAGCCCCACCCCCATCTCCTACCTACTAACCTCATCCCGCCCCCTTGACCTGTCT